ACCTCTCTGTCCTGGCCTTCTGCTCAGATGCACATTGTCTCTGTTTGGGCCTGAATTGTCTCTGCTATCCTCAAGAGTGGCCCCCAAATGACCCCAGAATTGGAAAACCCGTGCCTTCTCCTGCAACCCTGACCAGAAACTACTTCAGAGAACAGGGAACACTGCACAGGGGACCATAAAACTCCTCCCAAGCTCGCCCTCTGCTGGTGAACAAGGACCATTTCCCCCTAAATCCTCACCAAGTCTTTCTTGTTGCTCAAATACTCATTTCACTTCCAGTGAGTAGATGGAAGCAGAAAAGTAACATGACATATTCAGAAAGTTTGTTTTCCTCTTTTAGATACTGGAGATAAGCCCTGAGGGAGCTGACCTCACAATCAACAATTCACACCCAGCTGCCCCTCCAGAGAAAAGAGAGGCTGGCTGCTCCCATGAAGATTTACAGCCTCTGGAACACTAGATAGTGTCCTTGTGAGGCAGGATCAACTCAATGACAGCGGGATTTGGGTGTTTGGGTCCTTAAAATGCATCCTTCAGAGGAAATAGATATACATTAAATTAACACTAAATACTCCTCCTACTTGCTGTGATGCCTCATGTGCTTTGACTCCACCCTCACTTTGAGCTCATCCCATCCGAGGGCACTTTGCACAGTGTGTTGGCCAGCCTGCCTGCATGCACAGCCAGAGCCAAACAGGTGCTTTCCAATTGTGGCGGAAGTTGAGAGTGGCCCAGAGAAACTCAACTCAAATGAGAATCCATGCCATAGTTGATTCTGACTCGTAGGGACCCTATAGAGCAAAGTAAAACTGTCCGCTGTGGGTGGGTTCTGAGATTGCAAATCTTTCCAAGAGCAGAAAGTCTCAGACCAGCTAGAGTGTTTGAACCACAGACCTTGGGGTTACAGCCCAACGTGTCATCCATGTGCCACCAGAGCTGCTTCCGGAGACACTAGGAGACAAGCAAACAAGAGTTACGGGGAGATGGGAGAGTAATGCCACAGGCCAAACCTCTAACCCTGCGCACCAAGATTCATAGCCTGATGAGCACAATACTTATTGTCTGCTGTGTGCCACCCAGAGGGAAGCTTACCCGATAAGCAAGGCAATTCACGACCATCAAGTTGATTCCCTGTACAGTGGAACTGACCTCGTGAGTTTCCGAGACTGTGAGTCTTTATTGAAGTAGAAAGCCCCAACTTTCTTCCAAGGAGTGGCTGATGGTGTCCAACTGCTAACCTGGAGAATCACAGCCCAATGTCTAACCACTAAGCACTGGTTTATATGTACTTACTTATTAATCTGTAGTGAGCAGTTTTACATGGGAAAAACATGTCAAACTGTTTGTGGTTAGTTTGAACCTCTTCACTGCTTGGCAGCTGATTTCCCCCAGAACAAATGTTCCAAGAAACTCAGGCAGAAACAACATTTCTTATGACCAGCAGGCATCATTTCAACTACATCCTGTGGATCAAAGCTGCAGGGCAGCTCAGATTCCATGGGATGAAGGCAGGAACTCAATCCTTAATTGGAGACTAGCTTCCAAGGAGTGAATGAAGATTGTTTTAAAGACAAGTTACCACACCGGATTCAAACCTCAGCAGCCTGACGCCAGTGCTTGTGTGTTTCATTATTATCCCACAGTACAGATACCATTACAATGTCAATAGCCAGCTCAGCTGCTTGTCAACAGGCTGGCGGTTCAAGTGCCTTGTGCAAAATCAGACGTCGCAAACACTACCGGGCACAGTTCTACTCTAACACCTTTGGGGTTTCCTTGAATTGGGACCACTTAGACAGCAACTGGTTTAGTTGTTGTTTTTTGTTATGTTTGATGGTAGCTGATATAAAATGTAATCAACTGCTAACCAAAAGGTTGGTGGTTTCAGCCTCCCTAGGGAGCCCTGGTGGAGGAGTGGGTTATACGTTGAGTTGATAACTGCAAGGTCAGCAGTTCGAAACCACCAGCTGCTCTGCAGAAGAACAATGACGATTTCTACTCCTGTAAAGAGGTACAAGCTCAAAAACCTACAGGCCTGTGGACTCTCTTCCTTTATAACTGTGGGTCGCAACCCCTTTGGGGGTCGAACCACCCTTTCACAGGGGTCGCCTAAGACCATCGGAAAACACACAAATACTGTACTTCACATTATATAATTACATATTGTTTTGTGATTAATCACTATGCTTTAATTATGTTTAATTATGTTCAACTTATAACAATGAAAATACATCCTGCATATTATTTACATTATGATTCATAACAGTAACAAAATTACAGTTGAAGTAGCAACAAAACTAATTTTATGGTTGGGGGGTGACCACCACATGAGGAGCTGTATTACAGGGTCGCAGCATGAGGAAGGCTGAGAACCGCTGCTCTCTAAGGTTACCGTGAGCAGGAGTCGACTCAGTGGCAGTGAGTGGGAACTCTCTTTATGCTCCCATAAAGATTACAGAAGCAAGAAGAACACTGCCATCAAGTAGATTCTGACGCAAAGTGCCCCTGGGGAGGGGTTCTGACGCGATCGGTCTTTATGGGAAGAAACAGCCTCGTTTTCTCCCATGGAGCCACTGGTGTGAACTGCTGATCTTCTAGTGGGGCAATTCTACCTTATTACGGGGTTCACGATGAGTCGGAATTGACTCAAAGGCATTAACAATAGTCAAAAAGGAAGAAGTGATTAGTTCTGCCTCAATGGATCAGGGAAGTTTCACAAAGGAGAAATCATCTCTCTGTGCGTGCAAGTACACACACACACACACCCCCCTAGTGTGGGCAACAGGTTGAGTGTTGGGGCGGCTTTTTGTGGCCGGGCTGGATTGGGTGAGGGTGAGGAGACCCACAAGCCGAGAGTCCAGGGGTTCCACATTGGGCTGGACCCCGCAGGCCTGCAGCACGCTTCGGGAAAGGGCGGTTTCCGCTCCCTTCAAAGACAGACTCGGACAATCACGGGGTTCTTCCACCTTCCACTCTGCCCTACTAAGGTCGCTAAGAGTGGGCATCGACGCGACGGCAGTGAACTGGGTTTGGGCTGAGGTAGTGGGGGAAAGGGCACTGACCTTGAACTGGGGAATCATGAATCCAGACCCAACTCTGCCATTCCCGAGGAACTAACAGTCCAAGGAAGGAAAGGAACAGAGGCCCTACGCCATCGACAGGGTGGGGGCTTCTGACCATATTTGCCCTCCCCAGATTGGAGAGCCACACTTGGTGATCTGCATGGACTGCTCGGCAGATACCATGACCAACCGCCTTCTCCAGCGGAGCCAGAGCAGCCCGCATGGGGATGACAACTCTGAGACCATCACCAAGCGCCTGGAGACCTACTACCGCTCCTCCATCCCCATGATCGCCTACTACGAGACGAAAACACAGCTACACAAGGTGAGCACTTACCTCTCCTCTACAACGAGCCCCCACGGCACAGAAAACTGGCCAGGAAAGTTTTGGTTAAGGGGTCAGGTGTTCAAGCTGCAAGCCGCTGCAGAATTGGGGCTAAAATATAGGTCTCGTAGGCTACTTTGCCTCAATCAAAATCTGTCATTGTAGGCACTGTAAGATGCCAGTCCTATTGTTCTGATGGATGCCATCGTTGTTTCTGAAAAAAGATTTTGTTTTTTCAGAAGAGATGATGTGGCAAAGTTTCTGCATTAAGTTGATGCATAATTTCCAGACCCCAGTTGGTGTGATAATCCCAAAGGTCCCCTAGCTCTAAAATCCAGCAATTCCGAATTTCTAAATTTGTACATCAGTTATGCTTGGCACTTGGCTGCTTCACTTCAATTTCCAGCAGTAACTGATGTAATTGAGAGAGGCAGCACATGGGGCCAGGAGCGCAGGTAATTGACTCCGTCAAGATCTTGCAGGGCGACGGGTGCTGCCGGCTTCCTGATCCCGAGCTATAATCCATGCTGGATCACCATTGAGTTCTGGAATTTGGAGAAACTGCCCAATCCCCATTCACTAATTCATTCAATAAATATGTATGAGGCACCTATTACGAGCTAATATGGTTTGTATTAAAATCAGATGCAGGTGATCATAATTTGAGTCAAAGCAAGCAGAGTGTGAGTACTGGCAGCCTCTTCACCCAGTCAGAGGGAAAAGGGTAATCAGGGGGAGGGTGCCTGAGGAGGGCAAACGTGTGTGTGTGTGTGTGTGTGTGTGTGTGTGTGTTGGGGAGGGAGTGCAAGGAGTGTGCAGTGACGCTATTCTCTGTCCTACAGGGTGGCTAGGAGTCAAAATGAAGTCCAGGGCAGTGGATTTGATTTGGTTGGGAGCAGGGTGGAGGTACAAAGTACCAAGAAGGAGGGGGTGTTCCATATCCAAGGAGCCCCCCAAGAAACTTCAGGGGGGTTGGTAGTGATGTACAGGACCGAGTTAAAGAAAGACAAGAAATGGGGATAGAGAGGCAAGCAAGGACCAGATCAAGATGAACCTGCTTCAGGAGCACATTATCACGGAGGGGCGATGGGGACTAGGTCGGGGCCAGGCTGCCGTTGAGAGGGCTCACGCAGTCAGCCTGGTGGAACACGGAGCGCAAAGGTAGACTGGGAGACACCTGGGAGACTGGGGCAGTCAGGTGAGAACAAGAGAAGCCCAGAGGCCCCAGGCTAGAGAAAGGACATTGGTGTGTCTCGCTTACTATTCACAGAAAGTTAATAGGAGGTATCAATCAACAAACAGCCCCTTGGTGAAAGTAATTAATGATATTCTTCTATGCCTATGAATGATCCATTTCCCAGAATCCTAAGAAGCCCTGGGTTTAGGAAATGAAAAGGACCCCCTCTATTTAACTCCGGGATGGCAACTATAGGGCATAAGAACGTCATCCAGTGGTTCTCAGCATTCCCAATGCCGCGACCCTTGAATACAGTTCCTCATGTGGTGGTGACCCCAAACCATAAAATTATTTTTGATGCTACTTCATAACTATAATTTTGTTACTGCTATGAATTGGGCAACCCCTGTGAAAGGGTCATTTGACCCCCAAAGGGGTCCCTCGACCCCCAGATCAAGAACCGCTGGTGTCATCCCTCCCAATTTCTGCTTCCCCAGCAGGCAAGAAGAATCTACCCCTACTCTTTCTGGCCACACCCCCAGGAGCCTCAGGATGTTTGTTGACAAAGCCCCCCAGGCAGCTACCCCCATGCTATGGGGCTGCAGAGCCAGGCGAAACTTTTTCCTGTGCCTCTTGGTACCTTGGGATGCCAAGCAAAGCAAAGACTTACATGTTTAAAAATAAACAAGCAAAAAAAAAAAAAGAAGAAGTATGTGATGTAAGAGCAGAGTCTTTAGAATTCAGGATGGCAAAGGTCTTTCCAAGATTAGACGGCCCAGTGATTTCTAACCTTTGGGCCAGCTGGAAACCGCCAGCAATCATCCAGATAGAAAGGAAACGTTTCCACTGTCAAAATGTATAGAGGACGAAAAATCCTTAAGTAATTCACGACTTAACCACTTTTGGAGGCAGAATATACCTTGTCTCTCTCGTGTTGTGGCTTGAATTTTACAGAGTCACAGTTATTGACATCTGGATACAGGGTTAACAGTTCTCATATAAAAACAGGCTCCTGGAATCCTTAGAAATATCTAAGAGAGCAGGCAAGGAAGTTGCCCCTGTGTTTTGGAGATGCCGGAGGCCATGGAAAGGAGGTGTTTCTTATTTGCTTCAGAAATCCTGAAACCCACTCACGTCCTGGCTGCAGAGCAGTGTGAGCTGAAGTCCGTGGGACCCACCCTCCTGGGGGGCCTCCCCTCTGAGGAAGCCTTCTCCCCCGACAGCCTCTGCTTTCTGACCGTCTCCTACCCCGGCAGCTGCTTGGGGGCCCTGGGAGAACCAGAAAGAAGGTCAGAGAGGCAAACAGGTTCCCCCCAGACAGCCACATGCTCGGCCCAGGGAGGCAGGAATTGTTTGCTGTGCCCTTTCAGGCTGTTAGCAACTCAACTGTGGCAGTCCCTACCGGAGGGCAATCAGAGAAGGGGATAAGATCGTTGTCACTGGACAAATCACTGTCCCTTTCTGTTCTCTGGGCTTCTGGACTCTAGTGGCACAAGGGTTCAAGTGCTTGGCTGCTAAGCAAAAAAATCCACTGCTCCTCAGGATAAAGGGGTGGCATTCTGCAGCTGTCAATTACAGCTTTGGAAACCGTCTAGGAGAGTCCGACTGAGTCCGATAGGGTCACTTTGAGAGAGAATCACCTCGAGAGCATTGAGGTTTGGGAGTGCTACTTTTGGACTGAGAAATATGAAGAAATAGTCATCTTCTCTCCAACCTTAAACACACACACACACACCCCACCCTCATCACCACTGAGTCAATGACACACACACACACACACACCCCACCCTCATCACCACTGAGTCAATGACACACACACACACACACACACACACACACCCCCCCCCCATCTCCAACCTTAAACACACACACACACACA